AAGTGACCTTCCCGAACATCCCCGAACAGGTCGAAACTGACGATTAAGGTCTGAAACACCTGGAAAGTACTGCAGTACTTTGAGAGTACTGTAGTACTTCCAAAGTACTGAAGAACCAAAGTGACCTTCCCGAACATCCCCGAACAGGCCGAAACTGACGATTGAACGCTGAGACACCTGGAAAGTACTGCAGTACTTTGAGGTAGGACAGTACTTTGAGAGTACTGTAATACTTCCAAAGTACTGAAGAACCAAAGTGACCTTCCCGAACATCCCCGAACAGGCCGAAACTGACGATTGAACGCTGAGACACCTGGAAAGTACTGCAGTACTTTGAAGGTAGGACAGTACTTTGAGAGTACTGTAATACTTCCAAAGTACTGAAGAACCAAAGTGACCTTCCCGAACATCCCCGAACAGGCCGAAACTGACGGTTGAGGGCTGAGACACCTGGAAAGTACTACAGTACTTGGAAAGTAGGACAGTACTTTGGAAGTACTGTAATAAACACTTCCAAAGTACTGATGCACCAAAGTGACCTTCCCGAACATCCCCGAAAAGGCCGAAACTGACAATTGAGCGCTGAGACATCTGGAAAGTGCTGCAGCACTTTGAAAGTAGGACAGTACTTTGAAAGTACTGTAATACTTCCAAAGTACTGATGCACCAAAGTGACCTTCCCGAACAGGCCGAAACTGACGATTGAGGTCTGAGACACCTGAAAAGTACTGCAGTACTTTGAAGGTCTTTGAAAGTACTGTAATACTTCCAAAGTACTGATGCACCAAAGTGACCTTTCCGAACATCCCCGAACAGGCCGAAACTGACGATTGGAGGGCTGAGACACCTGGAAAGTACTGCAGTACTTTGAAAGTAGGACAGTACTTCAGTAGGACAGTAGGACAGTAGGACAGTACTGTAATACTTCCAAAGTACTGAAGAACCAAAGTGACCTTCCCGAACATCCCCGAACAGGTCGAAACTGACGATTAAGGTCTGAAACACCTGGAAAGTACTGCAGTACTTTGAAAGTCTTTGAAAGTACTGTAATACTTCCAAAGTACTGATGCACCAAAGTGACCTTCCCGAACATCCCCGAACAGGCCGAAACGGACGATTGAGGGCTGAGACACCTGGAAAGTACTGCAGTACTTTGAAAGTAGGACAGTACTTTGGAAGTACTGTAATACTTCCAAAGTACTGATGCACCAAAGTGACCTTCCCGAACATCCCCGAACAGGCCGAAACTGACGATTGAGCGCTGAAACACCTGGAAAGTACTGCAGTACTTTGAAAGTAGGACAGTACTTTGGAAGTACTGTAATACTTCCAAAGTACTGAAGAACCAAAGTGACCTTCCCGAACATCCCCGAACAGGCCGAAACTGACGATTGAGGTCTGAGACACCTGGAAAGTACTGCAGTACTTTGAAAGTCTTTGAAAGTACTGTAATACTTCCAAAGTACTGATGCACCAAAGTGACCTTCCCGAACATCCCCGAACAGGCCGAAACGGACGATTGAGGGCTGAGACACCTGGAAAGTACATCGGTATTTCGAAAGTTGAACAGTATTTTGAAACTACTCTAATACTTCCACCGTACTTTTGCATTGCGCTGGCGTACCGGGCAATTTATTCCTTCCAGCACCGGAAGTCTTTGAATTTTCTTCCTTCAAACTTTTCTGGTTAGAGGTTTTTTTGAAAAACAAATGAAGGCAGATAGAAAATTGGGTTTTAAAGGATTGCAGGAATACATTAGGGCTCTGCAAAAGTTAACCTATTGCAAGATTAATAATGGGATTGAATTTAATTAGATAGTATTTGTACGACACATATGTAACGTACAAAATTCTTTGTGTAAATGCCAATACAGTACTCAGCGTTCAGAACGACGACAGTAAATTGCAACAGTAAATTTTGCTGCCAACGACTGTCAATTGCTGTCAATGGTACCTGCGTTCCTGATCACTGTCCACTGCTGTTTCCCAAGGGCTTAGGTATTACACACTTGTGCAATCAGTACCCAATATTAACCGCTCGACGAGAAAATACCTCTGAACTGCATCGGGGAGCACGGCGAGATGGGGAATTACAAACAAAAGGGTAACAATTTCAGTACTGTAATAAAAAATTGATACAATACGGATGGGGCGACGGCAGTGATCAGTCAACAGTGCATTACACGGTAAGTCAATTATTAGAGCACTTGTTACTTGAAGAAGTACTTACAACACGGCGACGACATAATTGTATAATTTAATAGCCTTAAGTAATTACACAAAACAATGGTGCATGCACTAAAAGTGCACATGCATGTACGAATGGTGCAATTGCATGCACCATTGGTTCGTTTGGTTCGTTTAAAGGCTTAAGTGTGTACAGTAAAGCAGTACTTTAAAAGTGTTGTAATTTTCTTAAAGTACTGGTGTACGAGAGTTATCTTACCGAATAAACCGATACAGAACAAACCGATACAGACGATGCGATCAAAGATTGTTCAGTCTTATGAATTTAATAACAGTGACAATATTTCTTATAGCACCATGGTGCTATAATTATAGTGCAATAAATATGCAACAACGACGACGACGACGACAGGCTAATTTTAATGAGTTTACTGTTGGGCCATAACAGTAATGTAATGCACCATACTGGTACAGATCTTTACCTTTACCGATTAGATAAATCCTGGGTGCTGCACAAACAATCGACGCTCCTAGCAGGCACGTTTCGAAAATGGTACGTTCGTCTGCATTGTTATACATGTGTATTACCACCAGGAATACCTTTATGCCGCTGGATGTGCTACGCACCCATGTGCTGGCTGCAGAAAAACTTTGGGACATCAGGTGCCCATAATAATTTTAGTCAATGATCAGTGATGATAATGCACATGGTTGCCTATGATTGCACTAAACTAATACTTATTGTTTTTAAGAAATCATAGTGGAAATCACAGTTAAGTGTTAGTACTTTGTATGCACAACAAAGCCAGAGTATTAAATTAGCAATGGAGTACGTAAATAAACCTACGACAGTGAGCCTATTTGTCTGCATAACTGGCAGCCTTGCGGAAGTTTTCAAGAAAAAGTACCAGCTTGGTCGGTCGTACACAAGCTGACCAAAGGCATGGTAACCGGCGTCGAGTTCCTTCATTCTCATGGCGTATTCCACGGCGACATAAAACCTGACAACATTCTCCTCGGTGTCGACGCTAACCAGGACATCGTAGCGAAAATTGCTGACTTAGATGATTTCGTGCCGGTCCCTAATGAGGTCAGCAACCAAACACTGAGCGCAGCCGCGATGGTTGGTACCCTCATGTATCTGTCACCTGAGCGTATTAACCAAATCCCCAGCCCAATAAATGATCACTTCCATGAAGCTGATGATCGACACGGCGACCGACGAAAAGGCATCCGAAAGAATGCCGATATTTGGAGCGTGGGCTGTACTGTTATTTTTCTAGTATCTTCACAAATGTGCCATTGTATAATGGCACATTTATGAAGATACTAGAAAATACCTCCCCATTAGCATTCGTATGAATGCTAGCATTCGTATGAATGCTAATGGGGAGGTATTTTCGATTAAGAAAGCAGAGTCATTAAAAACCCAGAGGAACAAAAACCGCTTCGGTTGAACAGTGTACAACTGGAGCGGTTTCTGTAAACTGGAGGCCGACCTTGGATTCCTACCGATATAAAAGCTATTGGCTGAATTCATTAAGAAATGCACTGTCGAAAATCCTTTACTGCGTTCCAGCGGCAAATAACTACTGGCCGATCCATGGGTTTGTTGCGATCCGGACAACAGAATGGTTGCTGAATGTATGTATAATCCTCACTTTGACGCAGATTTTTTTTGCTTGTTGGTTCTTATTCGGTTACGACAACCTTAATCACAAAAAATTATTTGACCTACTTAAGATAAAAACTGTTACGAAAAAAACTGTTTTAAAATAGCTTACTGCCGTAATTTCAAACACCTTTACATTGTATGCCATTGTATTGTTTTCGCACTGCACCATGGTCATACAGGGATTCTGTTCCATGTTGGCACTGGAACCTGAATGACTGGCGTTTCGACAAGATATTTGAGTGCGCCGAAGTGCGAAAGCGTAGCATTGTGTGCCGTCAAATAAAGTCGCTCCCGACTAAAGCGTCTGCGGAGTGCCTAGAAGTTAAGATTACGGATTCGACTACTTTGCACTGCGGCGCAATGCAAGAGATGGAGGAAATGTACTGATAGCCGCGTCAGCAGTTATATGAAGGTCGGATACCGCCTTCTACTTTGTTTTGTTGTAAGGCGTTTTCTTCCCGGCTTCGTCTACGGCGTTGTGAACTCAGCTTAAGTGCTGCCCAGGGTCCATCATAGTGGCTACAGTTACTGTACTTGTACTGCATGCTTGCCATGACGTTCCTTTACTAATCAAAAAATTGTTTATTAATTAGGCTACCTAATCTTCTTACGTGGTAATAACTTGACCGTTGTTTTGTTATTTTACTTTACAGCTGTCAATTCGGTAAAAGAATAACAAGCCAATGCGGATGACTAAAAATTACTGGAAATTTAAGCACTGTGAATTACCCAGATTGTACACACATTAATTTTGGCCGCACATTTAAGTAGTACCGAAAACAGCAGCAGCAACAGCGTTAAGTGAAATTCCGTTTCGGTTACGGTAGGCTCCATCAATTTTCGTTGAATAACAGTTGCCAAATCACTTCCTGTTGCAGAAGCGATACTTATTTACAAGGCAACATTTTTGTTTCCGGCTATTTACGTCTACATGCCGAAATTACTGAGTGTTTGTCTCGGCATACTAAAATCGACAGTAACGACCTACACATGAAACAAGTTTCTAGACCCGAAAACATGTGTGATTAAGCAGAAACCGGCAACACAGGCGGCCTAGATTTTATTACAGGAAATCCCCACTGTCCTTACGGCAGCATTCGCTGATATTTCCCAGGCATATAAAAACTTGTTTCCGAAAGATACTGCAAACTACAAAACGTTTGTCAAAGACTACACAGTGAAATGGTGGCTACAATTCTCTTTGTCCTAGGCTGCATTAGCAGCGCTTCGTTGGTTAATGCTGGCGCTGCAAAAGCCAACAAAGGCTCTCAAGTCATGACACAAGCCAACAAAGGCTCTCAAGTCATGACACAAGCCAACAACGACTCTCAAGTTATGACTGCCGGCTTCGACTGCGACGATAATATCCAGGTATTTTACCATATAACTGAAAGCTTCTTTTATTTAGTAACTTGAACGTGGTGTATAAAGTAACTTTACCGTAAAGCAGCTTTAGCGTTTGAAATATATACTGCAAAGGTCACTCTCAATAAAGGTGCCAAAAGTGTTTTTCAAACAGTACAGTTACCGTCGATTACAGACTTTAAAAGCTTTTGTTCGAACAGCGCTTGTCCTTATGATGAACGTCTGTCTCTGATGGCGTTAATTTACAGGGCGGCAGTTGTGTTGCATCTTGTTGGTACAATGACTGGCAAACGCGTGATAACCGTTGCGGCGGTGATCGCGACAAATTTAGCTTCAACAACGGATTCGGACAATGCTACTGCTGTCGCACACATCACTTTACGCCCGTTGCAATGGGACAGACGGATCAGCCAGAGTCGAATACCAATGCATCGTCCATTCGTGTTCTCGACGCCTACAACTGCGACTCCTATCTGACAGTTTCTGAACAAGGCTCTGCATGTTGGTTCAATGACTGGCAGCACCGCGACTCCCGATGCCCCAATCAAAACGATAAGTGGAGCTTTGGGACTGTTTACGGGAAGTGCTATTGCTGCCGACATCCCTCTAAATAGTCCATTTCCCATGTACAGCTCATGCGAATGCTCTTGCATACGCAATTTCATGTACAATTCACCGCAAACTTTGGGGAGTGGGTTGAAGACGCGTATCTTGTGCAGAAAATAATTAAATTTTAGCAATTTAAATGTCTTCGGACCGGGTAAAAATTGTTTTCTTAATTCGATCGCGAGCTTCGGTTACCTAACTATTGTTACTGTGTTCTAGCCTGAGCTGACAGTCTTAGTGTTATACAAAGAAGCACTCTGTAGCAGTGATTGCGTCAGCTGGCCGGTACTGTATGAAGTCTGTATATAATATAATATCTTAAATCATTTGTGTATTTCGTTTGAAGATGAACTGCTACTTTGAGCAAACTGCTTTCTGCTGAACTGAGTTTACTGCTGAGCTGGACAAAGATCGAGACACATACACTTACCCAAGCACAGTAGACTTTAATGCACTTGGTTAATGCAATTTGCAAATTCTCGAAAACGTTTTATTCAAACCTTATGCCCAGGTTATTTTGTTTCGTTTGATTCATTGTTTCGCTTTGCTTTGTATTTATTTAAGCAAAAACTGATATAACAATTTATACATTTCCGATTTCATATTTTTCATTTTTCATATTTTACTTTTATATAGTTAAAGATTTTAAGTGCGTGACCGACAAGTCCCGTTTTCTGGAACATGGAGGTCCTTCGCTTCCCTTTGGTCGATTAATCTGGTTAATTACAGTACATGCTCAACAACTGGAATGGTGTTTTAGGTTTTCCTATAAGGCGAGTAAAAGTCCGTAAGCTGTTTTTGTCTCGGTAATCTAAAGTATGTAATTCCCAAGCAATTACTGAATCTTTCTTCCTAATAACAGGTGCGCAAAAGCGCACCTGCTGCCGGTATCTTCAACTTGTGCACTTACTTGTGCAGTTAAGTTGCCGGAAGATGCCGTTCCCACTTTAAAGATAATTAGTCAGGGGTTTTCTGCAAAATGGATACTACAGTCTGTACTTCGCCAAAAGTTTGTCGAACCCTATAAAGTGCAATTAAGGAATTTTTACCAGGAATTTGCTACAGACAGCGAACACCTGCTGTCAGTGCGTGTCGGCACGGTTGCCTGGGCACCTTGTACAGTTCCAGATCTGAAGAGCAAAAGGTTGATGTTTGGGCCAAACGACGTGGAGTGCGAATCGAGCATTCTTCAACAAATACATAATGATTTTGATACCTTCTTCTTAATCCGAAACGGGTTTGTCGTCACAACTGCCATGTTAAGAAAAGAGAAACTGCGAAATTTGGGGTGCAACTGCAGGAAGCATTCATACACGATCTATTTCTGAAAGTCACACTGGGCTGCTCACCTGGTTGAACCCAATGTATACGTAATGTAAAGAACGCGGATGCTCCCACGCCCCTTTTTTGTTACCGAGTACCGGCGAAAAAGGAAAGGACTGATTTGCATTTGAAACAGAAAACCATTCCGGTCACGCGATGTTAAAATTATATACAGCTCCAAGTAGCAATAATAGGCAGAACAACAAGCGAAACGTGATAGACCGCTGTAAGCGCGACGCAGTGAATAAGCGCACAGTTAAAAGCTACATTTTATCTACTCTGCACTGGATGCATTGGCGTAGAGCACTCAGTCTATCTCATACTTGTCTCTCTCACACACCCCTGACACCGCAGTGGCGTTAATGACCAAAACGCCGTGACGTGCCGAAGCACCTTGAATGGCTCAAGCCCACGTTTTTCAAATATCCCGCTTACAGCGGTCTACAGGTTTGAAAACGGGCTTGTACTTCTATATTTTACAACGTACTCACCCTACAGATACATACAGAGTACAAAGCGTATCTGGAGTGTAAATAATTCCGTATCGGATACTAACAATGCTCTGTTTACTTCAATAGACACCATAATAAGCGTAAACAGCAGACGACAGCGCCAAGGGGAAAATGACCAAAAGGTGTCAGAATTTCTATGCTCTGTTTATTCATGGTTGTATTATTGCGATTTTGTGTTCTATCAGCTTAACTTCCGTAACAACCACCACATGACGCAATTCGTATCACTCATGGGACTGTTGAAAGTACCGTCATAGTCTGGAGTAATTTCATTCCGGTGATAAAAGGTGACGAAACGTTCAAAACCGTTGTCTGACATAAAATTTTGATATAAAAAGTAGGTAGTACTGTCAGTATTCCGGACAGTAGTCGCATCAGTATCAAATTTAGCAGCACAGATGCTTTTCAGTTTGATGATTTTAATGATTTAACATTCTATCGCAACGCGACAAAATCTAATCCATAATACGTACATAACTAAAAACCATTTGAATATATTTTAATTAAGGCACTACTTTTTCTGATGCATTGTGGTGTCTTTTAATTTTGCACCAAGCACTGATAAATCGCATGTTAACTAGCGGATGTTCACTATTGACCACATCGGTTCTGGGCGCTGCTTAAGCCTTAGCCAGAGCTCTTACCTGGCTTACTGTTAAGATTATAATCAGTGTGAATGTGTGCCTCGTTAAATATGCCGCATTCGCATCATCCCAAGTCATTCTTCGATTATGATTTATGCACTACTCGGATTTGTCGCCTTTCCCCTTGCACCATAGCTATAAGAGCTATTCCAGATTGCAGATTTCTTCCATTCCAGTAAATATCGTCCAGCGGTGCAGTAACAACAGTTATTTCATGACCATGAACAACTCCACAGCGGCTGATATTATAAAATCATGGACGTTCGTCCCGATCATGGACACAGTGATCCTGGTGGCGGCGCTGCTGTTCAACGGCGGCCTGATCATCTTGTTCATCGTCAACCGGAAATCTTCACACGCCGTTCTCCGTGTACCTTTTTAACCTCATCCTGATGACCTTTATCTACATCGCCACCCAGGGCCCCATTAACATCCTGTACAGTCTTTACAGTAGATGGTGGATGGGCGACGCGCTATGCACATTTCTTTTCTACACAATTTACACATCCTCGGCGGCCATTGTCCACGCTCATCTCCTCATCACCATCAACCGTTTGTGGGCCATCACGCAACCGGTGTCCTACAAGAAATATCATAACACCGCTATCGCTGTTACGTTGTGCGTGTTTATGCTTTTGTACTTTCACGTGCAGCCGTTGTACGGTGTCGTGATGGATGGAGTGTCCCATAGAATGCCTACTTCCACAGGACAGTGCTTAATCAACATGGAGGCGCAGTGGGCATGGGGAACCGCAACAGAGTTAGTGAACTTTACCTTCCCGATTATCTTCATGGTGGGTTGTAATGTGTTCTTGTTGTACCGGCGAAAAAGACGGTTTAATGCGCGCATCACCATCACAACGTACAACACCAATACGAAAACCATGTCCAGTCATACGGAGCACAATTCCAGCAATATGCCGGTTGTGGGTACGAAGAAACCCCCAAAAGAGCCGAAACGGACGCTGGTCCTGCTAGTGTGCCTGACGCTGAGTGTGGTGATCTGCTGGACGCCGGGTGTGTCACTCTTCACCATCACGCTGCTGTTCAACGTGAAACTGCCGTATTTGTGGCTGCAGATTGGCGGGATGATGTTCTCCGCGCAATCGGTGGTCGATCCGATTGTGCTAGCTCTTAGCTTTAAAGACGTTAGCGAGACGATTGTGTGGGTTGTGAAGAAATTTTATAAATTCTGGTTTTAGACAACTGAGTTTTGGCAGCTTAAGATCGGTACTCGCGAGCAAGTCTACAGAGTACTTTGAAAATTTGTGAACATTGCTTTTTGGCATGGTGAACACTTAATTTTTATACAGCAGACGTCGCATTCGTGATGCTGCTGAGAATATCGAATGAAGTTATTCCTGTGTATCACAATATTTTTATCGCAACAAATGGATTGTATCTACAGTAGATTATTGGGGTATCCTAACTGTCCTATACGAAACTGTCCCGTTCACTCATCGCTACTTACAACAAAGATAATTATCTTAAATATGGATAAGCTCCAGAAAAGGATTGTACCGGCAGATGAGCACCCGCACCACTTGAATTACTGTCTGTTCGCTTATCAATTATTTATTCGTATGCTTTGTTTATTCCACTTCCAGTTGCATATCACGACAATGATGACAGCAACCATCCGGCGAAACACACACAACTTTAATCAATTATGTATACGGGTCATCACGTTACTGTGTTATTGTGCCATGTTTACGCATTATATTACTGACGTTTGTTGAAGTCCGTACTGAAGAACGCACTGGTGAATATTAATGATGACCACCAAATTAATGAGCGCTAGCATTTTAGCCGCACCTCAAACGAACGCAGATTCGGAACATACTAGTAATCTAACCGTAAGCAGGCCAAGTAACTCAGCAAAATCCACACAGGGGGATTTTAAATATAAGTTCCTAAAATGCGGTATGCAGGCAAATTAAAGTTGTTTTCAGCTAAGTAGTCAATCAAATAAAATTAAATAAACCTGCAATTATCTCGGAAACTTCGGTATATTTTGTCTCCATTAATTTTTTATCCATTAACGTATACTGTACATGCGTACTGCTACCAGGAACACAGGACTTACTCTATACATATTATGTCATTCAGTTACTTCTATGCATTCCTTGAATGGCAGCTATGAAAACTTTTGGGCATCAGGTGCCCATAATTTAATTGATCATGAATAATAAGGCTAGCGCTACTAGTCTACTACACAGATTGGAAAGTATCTCTGTCTCGCATATTTTAAATCTGCAGGGTTGGTTCACTTCTTCCTTTCAGTAAATTGTTAATCGGTTTTTCCCATAACCCACATCCTGTCGACAGTAAAACAGCTGCGATGCTAAATTCCATGATGCTGTTGCTGAGTTACTGCTTAGTGACTTCCGAAATCGCTGCAGTCACCTCTCAACGCTTATTTTTTGAAAACGAAAAAGTTTTTTTTTGAATTCAGTTGCCTTGTGCTGTGTATTGTGTAATTGACACCAATCGCGCCGTGATCTTTTCTAAACGAAAAATTTTCTAGATTCCTGGCAGATTGTAAATAAAAAGCGACTCATCATAACATGAAGCTTAAGAGAAGTGACCCCGCACATGGCATCAAAATTCGTGTAAAATACAAAAAATTTCCTTTTCAAGCACTACCATAAACTTGTATTGTTTTATGGCATTTTACGATACACCCAAACGATTTGTATTCACTGGCGTGAAAACCGTTTGTGCGCCCAACACCCGGTTGGACATTAATCGATGTAAAAAAATTCCAAAAGGTTAAGACGCATCGAGGTGTATAAGTAGCAGAAGTCTCACGATGTACCGATCTGCTTTAGATTTTGCAAATAAACGCACATGCATAAATACGAAGATCGTTTTTACATGGACGTACGTTTCTAAGATTTTATCAGATTTTAAATACTTCTACACGAATTTGGTGCCATGTACTGGATCATTTCCCTTTATACTCGTATAAACGTAGAAATTTCCTTTGATTATTGTGATAAATCGTTCCTGTCATCCGTACTACACTTGTCCGAAGATGTAAGCGGACCCTTCCCGCGTTAATCTCCGTGGTCCATGTTCTGTTTTGAATAAAACAGCTACGGTGTCTCTCCAATGATGGGCCGATTTATTGCTACTTTTTGGGTTGTAAAAGGCACTTGGTACTCTCGTCACTGAGTCTTACTTCATTTCGCAAACGATTCTTTTGTATCGATGCGGTCAGAATGAATAATACCCTCCTCACTGCACGCAGAATTATAGAGCGTAATAATTTTGATCAAACAACACGAAGAATAAGCAGACAAAAATATTAATCAATCCTGGAAAGTTTCAGTACAATGTACTGCAAGTGTCTCTTAACGCACCAGAAAGCCATTAAAAACGTTTAGCTCAATCAAGCGTACCGCGAATATGCCTATGCCGGTATGTATAATGTATAAAAGCCAGGATAGATGCAAAGAAAACGAAAAATCACAAACATTTTCAGAATCCATCACTGTTTACATCGGTGTCAATAATTGAAGAATCATACATAATTTACGAGGAGCAATTTCGGGATCATTTTGCCGCCACCGTTACTAAATTTGACACTGCCTGTCAACATTTGCCTTTTTGTTTTGACGAATCTGAGACAATCATGCCTCGGATTATCGTATTTTTGATTTTAAATGCCGCACGGTTATACAGCTTATACTCTTGTTCAATGCGGTGTCTCGCAATATTTTCTTCTAAGTTAGCAAATTATTTCCGTTCTTAACGTTTTGATACCAACGTACATATACGAGTAGCAGCGTGTATAGCCATAAATAACTCCACAATCTCTTCCATCTCACAGTCATGGACATTCGTCCCGGTTATGAATACGCTGATCCTGATTTTGGCACTGGCATTTAACGGTTTCTTAATCAATTTATTCATCATGACCCGCAATCTCCATACCGCCTTCAGCGCATATCTGGTTAACCTTATCCTGATGACCTTTATTTACATTTCCACTGAGGGCCTCATTAACATCCTCAACACGTTATACAACTGATGGTGGATGGGTGACACGCTGTGTACGTTTTTCTTCTACACCGTCTATGTATCGGCTGCGGGTATTGTCAACGCGCATCTCCTCATCACCGTCAACCGATTATGGGCCATCACCAGTCCCGTTTCCTACAAGAAGCATCACAGCACGCGTGTGGCTATTTACTTGTGTGTGCTCATGCTTTTGTACAGCCACACTTTGCCGCTGTACGGTGTCGTAATGGATGGGATGCACTACAGAACATCGACATCCACGGGGATCTGCTTGATTAACATCCCGGCGCAGAAACAATGGGGAACCGCCACGGAACTGGTCGTCTTTACCTTGCCAATTATATTTATGGTTGTATGCAACGGCTTTTTGTTGTATCGGAGAAATAAGCGTTTTACTACGCGTGTTACCACGATTACTCAGAATACGAGTGCCAAAGCGGTTTCTGGCCAAACGGAGCCCAGCGCCAGCGCGCCGGTTGCTAATTTGGTCAAAGCGCCGAAAGAGCCGAAACGCGGCCTGGTTTTATTGGTGTGTCTAACGTTAAGTGTGGTGATCTGCTGGTCACCGGGTGTATCGTTCTTCACCATCACGCTGCTGTTCAATATGGAGCTGCCGTATTTGTGGCTGCAGATTGGCGGGATGATGTTCTGCACACAGTCCGTGGTGGATCCGATCGTGATCGCCTTGAGTTTCAAAGACGTCAGGGACACGATTGTGAGATGGGCGAAGCATTTTCGAAAAAAGGCGTTCTGATCATCTGATGTTCCCGGGGGCCGCGGGGAGTTTTGTTATGCTGAGATTGCAATGATTTTTCTGTTTACGTTTCGGTGGCTTGCCGAATAACCCCATTGTTTTTCGCCAATTACAACTCAGTCATTGTATTGTTCCGCTGCTTTACTGTTTTGCGCAGCAAGCCAGCAACGATAAAAAAGGAGTATTGTACTCGTACCTCCACCCAGCATTAATAACCGTATTCGCGTACTCTGTTGCTTGCCGACTGCAGTACATAAGTAAGTACTGTTTTTGTATTGGCCCTTTGCCCTAGATGGAAGATGTCAAAGCACATTGGAAGTGATACGGTACGCGTTCGCGATACGCCATCGCCTGATTCGCCTCCTTTGCTTTAAAAATCATAAAACAAGCCGGCAAGCGCGCCGCTTACCCTAGAACGGCGGCATTTGCGCCGACAAAGCAGCAGGTTGGGCCGTATTCAGTGCGCTGCAGTAGCGAGATACAGAGTACGTGCTTCGGAAAAAGGCACGCGGTATAAAAGTGTGAAAACTACACCTCCAGTTTTTATTTGTGCTTAGTGGGTTGGAAATAGTTTTCGTCAGGCGGTAATTACAGTATAATAAACAGTCAAGCCAGAGTGACGGTCTGCTAGACTGGGTATCTGGGTAGAGCAGGAAAATTTTTTCTACTCTCGTGAGTTTGTCCTTTACAAGTCACTCGATAGTTCTTATCGTAGAATTTGTGTGGTGTTCCTCATTAATCAACACGCACTCTTGTTCTTGTGTTGCCAGATCTTACGATTTTCACGACTTCAAGGTAAACAGGGTGGAACGCCTCGTAAGGATTTGCTGCATGCATGCACCAATAATTACATTTTGTGGAGTAATTACAAGTTAGTTCACGACCTTTTACCTTTTCATTTTTCACTCCCTGCATTTTGTTGCTGCAAACTCTGATAAAGTTACCGGTAAGCACGTGTTTGCTCTCCTTGCACACTACTGGATTTTGGTATACCGTTCAGTGGTGCTCACAACTTTACAGAGCATAGTAGAACGAGTCTAAGACTGTACGTCGCTTTTGAGCCTTTTGACTGAAGGGTAATGGCTGGGGAAATCATGTACAGTAACAACTGACATATACGTAACTGTAATTAATTACTTAACGAATTGTAATTGACGTATAAACTGTGTACAGGAACATGGCCGATAAAGCCGCTCGTGATAAGCGTCCAAACCAGCCGAGTGGACAGTCTGGACCTGATGCCGGTACTCGCGATGATGAAAAGGCCGAAAAGCACAAAGCGGCTGCAGTTTCCCACCGCGCAAAGCAGCTTAACCCCAACAACCCCTTGTTTCGACCCAAAGGAGGCAACAAAGATCAGACGAAGGACTAAACCATCACAGGAATGCTCGTACCGGAGTTTCAGTACAGTAATTAGTTCGTTTGTGCCGTCTGATATCATACTTCGTAATAATATCTCATCAATACTAGAAAGCGAACGTTTCCTCGTTGTTCCCAATGTGTTGCTGTGATCAGTTTGCTATAAACGCAGCATAATCAGTGCGATCAGTCGGAATCTGATGCATTTCTCACCTTACAGATACTTACTTTAGTTTCGATTCTGAGTTTTTTTCGTGTTAACGTCCAATAAAATGAGCCTGTTGGTGAACCGGGTTTGCCCCAGCAGAATCACAGCTTTCGATGGCCTTATCTTCTTTTTCAGTCTACTCTGCTAGAAATTACGCTGTAGTTATAAACAAAGTAGAAAGTACGCTGTAGCTAGTGCGTACGTTGTGGCTAAGAAGTACGCTGTTACCCCGGTAGTATGCTTTCGGTTAATTATGTTTTCTGTTCTTGATAATGATTTGATATCGCAAGAAGAAAAATACAGATTTTTATAAATTGTCCTCTTTCTGAGGTTTTTTTCTTGGAATTTTTAGATTTCTTACCCTAGGTTTTCTTATTTTCCTTAGTTTTTTCTTAACTTAACTCATACGAAGGCACGGTTTGCCGGTATAATGTTACAAACAAAAACAGGAGAACTGAGAACACTAAAAAAAATCTAAGGAACCAAGAATTACTAAGAAAACTTAAAAAATTCAAGAAGTAAAAATGCCAAAAGGGTTATAAGACACCCATGAAACCGCTAAAATTGTAAGAACTCGTGTTATGATTACTACAAGTAAGCCACAAGTTTGCTACAAAAACTGGTACTAGCGCCGGTACCGACATGCTACAACGAGCATTCCCTGCACCAAAACACTAACCTGTACTAGCACAGCATAACGCCACAATTTATTATATTATGGTAGTACTGAGTACAGATAAGTACAGTAACTCACTCGGCTAATCAGATACAGCTAATCACTCGTTACGAGAATGTCACAGATACATTTCCACAACAAGCAGATATCATTTTATCCCAACTGCACGGTTTTGCCTGCCTATATCCGGGTGACGTCACAAAGGATAACCCGGATGCCGCCACCGGAGCGCGTTCTTAATAGACCGACATCCATGTGTACGTTTTGGCTGAGCTAAAAGACCTTCGATTCACTTCGGTTGATCATTCGACATTATATAATTATTCAATAGAGCGAGCTGGTGCAGCAATTTTATTACGATATATATATATAATTCTTTGATAATTTTCTTGATGTGAATTTACAAGTGGCCATCAAAGCTAAATTGCACTGGCATTTGCGTGCAGTTACACAGTACAGTACAGCGCAAACCATGCTCGATAACTCTCACCAACAAACTGACAAAAGTACTACTGTACTGTAGACGCATGTTTCGCAGTTTACTGTGCTCATGCGTCTGCAGCCGTACGCCTCGAGCACCCTGTTACTTTTAATTACAGTATCTATGTTGATTCACCATAGATCATGATGAAAGCAGCACAATTTCAATTTACCATGGACGACCGTTACGAGAATTTTACCGAAAAGACACCTTTCTTTGATAGGTGCTGCCGCACATATCAAACGCCTGATGTACTGCCGAGTGCCGAACAGGGCCAAGGCCAACATGCACAGCAGAACCTGTTTCTGCTAGTGTAGCCGAAAAGGGACCATTTGACGCTGCCGGCAGACTGTCAAAGCCGCCATCCGGCAGCTTCGTGACAATTACCATCAATACAATGCAGTGAAATAATGACAACATCATTTTGATCGCCATTACGAGCATCATCAGGCTACATCATTTCTAGAAATATGCGGAACCAACAGGATCATGATGTCAGACGAGTTTTGCTGGGTAATGGTTCCAGTCTACCTATATAAACACCAGCGGCATTGCTTAAAAAACAATTGCAAACTTGACTTCTTCTACGCCACTGTAGCCGTATATGCTGCTGTTTCATTATCCGTCTGGACTCTGGAAGCCTTTTGCCATTTCGACCGAGCTATTAACGGTTGTCACTTGTCAGGTAAGCCATTCTCAATGCAGTTTGCGATGTTTCAGCTGCATAATAATAATAATACTGATCGCTCAAATCCGGTTTTTCCTTGCTACGCTGTCAATGAGGACCAATTAAAGTCGTAATCATAACATCAGAGTGTGAAATTTGCACAGACTGCCCAACAGAATCATGGCCGATAAAGCCGCTCGGGATAATCGTGCCAACCAGTGTAATCCCAACCATACGCCAACGGGACCTGGCCGCAACACCGGATACCATGGAGCCGGTACCAAGACCGACCTGAACAATCACGCCAACCAGATGAACCCCAATAATCCCGAATATAAAGGCGTCAACAAAGGTCAAAAGTGAACCAGGTTCGAAAGGATACCGGAATTACCTAAAAACTGGGCAACATTTTCGTGGTGAATTCTGCCCAAATACTGCAGTGCGTTTTTCGAATACTGCGTTTGTGTTTATGCCGACGTTGTCGAAGTTTGGCTTCTGTTATTTTTTTCTGCAACAACAATTAAGAGTCAGCAAGTGAACTACCTCGTATCTCGAAGCCGATGTCATTTTTACGTGCTGTTGTAACTGAATAAAGCGTGCACAAGACGAAGCTACATTACGCTTTTGTTGTATTAAATGCCTTATTTGCCAAAATAACTGCAGTGTAACCACAAATACAGAAGGGCGAGCTTTGAGAGCAAAAACGTTCAAAAGCGGGAAGTATTGCCGGTAATATTCCTATAGTGAGCATATCAACGCAATGGCAACAAAGCAGTTAAAATTGCCATAGTGGAATCGATTAGGGAAAACTGAGACGAATGCATATTTAAATGAAGTTCCACTAACCAGGGCTCGGTCACCACCTCCCCCCTCAGAAAAATCTCATTTTTTGTGTGAAGACACAATAGGTATGGGGAACACTTAAAAAAATACTTTCATCGGCAATGGTCCAGTGGGCGTGGTCAAACAGGAATTTATTGGCTGACATTATTGCATGTATGGCCATTGCCGTATTGCTGTACATACAGTAATTATGGTGTTACAGATTACACAGATAAATTTAATTTGCGAGTTTTGTGTTATCTATTACCACTGCAGTTTTACTCCTTGATGTGATTTTACTTCCTAATTCACTGTTTTGCAAAATTAAAATTATTAGTGAACTCGCCAATAGCGACTGTACTGAAACCCGAACAGACCGTGTGCTGCAAATCCATGCATTTTAGAGCTTGATACGTGGCGAGATTCTTTAAAAATGTTACTTTTTCAAAACAGTGAATTAGGAAGCAAAATCAAATCAAAGAGTAAAACTACAGTGGTAACAGTCTAACAGATAACACAGAAATCGCAAAATAAATTTATCAGTGTAATCTATAACACCATAAATATGTACAGCAATACGGCAATGGCCATACATGCAATAATGTCAGCCAATAAATTCCTGTTTGGCCACGCCCACTGGACCATTGCCGATGAAAGTATTTTTTTAAGGGTTCCCCATACCTGTTGTGTCTTCAAACAAAAAATGAGATTTTTCTGAAGGGGGAGGTGGTGACCGAGCCCTGGTAAGCAACGTCGAGCTAATAGGCCTACGACCACATACATTGTTATTGTTAACGCAAAATTTTATTTTTTGCACATTACTGGGCAAATCTCGACCAAATCGTACTAGCATTTGTTAAAGCCGTAAGTTACTATTTTGCTTCGTTTTTAAGTCATTTTTGAGTCTATAATATAGCTTCTAAATGAAGAATTATGGATCGCTCGAAATTTTTGGCGTAAAATAACCTTAAAAATAAAATACAAATAAAAATAAAATAACCCTAAAAATTAAATACGAATAAAACAACAACTCACCAAACGGCTACCAATAAATGACTCATAACGACAACTACACCCGTATTCAGCTCGTTTATACTCGAATTTCGGGCATCGCTACCTGACCACATCCACTTTTTTGTCCCTGATCTAAGCGCTTAAATTAGAAGAGCAATTAGGCGCAATTAGGAGTTTCCACCGTCATATTCCAACCCAAAAATCGGCTTTAAAAATCCTTTGCACAAAAAGTTATAAGCTTTATAAAGAATTCAGCCGTGCACACAGTCAAATCCGGTGCCAACACCCGTGCACGCAGCCAACGCCCGTGTTTTCCAGCGCCCGCAGGCTCGCAGCATCGACCTAAACTTATTTGTACAATGTTTGACCGGAACATCGGATACTTGGCCTGATAGTGCCGACCTCAACAAAGAATTAGCCTCCAAATTTATTTACCTACGAGTATGCAATTATGCGTAACCACCACAACAATTTCCGACTTAAATCAACTTTATTTATGCGTTGTTTATCGTTCGATTTTTCAAACTCATGCGTGAGACGCCATCTGAAACATAGTTTAAGTTTGTGATCTCCATATATATTATACATACGACTTAGGTGATGTATACGAATATCAGTGCCTTTTTGGGGAAATTTGCCGGCGATATGGTGCGCAACCAAACCAAATTGATTGCTTATGCAGGCTAGTAAATTTTGCAAGCACAATATTAGTCGTACTGCTTTTCGATGCCAGGCAATACAGCTTTAACTGACCTTTTAGCAATAGTCAAAAAAGCTGCATCAGGGAAAACCCATCTATGTTGCCAAGCAGATAAAAACAATACCCGCTTTAATACTGCATCATGACACGTCAGCCGCCAGAAATTACCGATTTCGAACGAGTTTCGCGTGGCGTATAAAAGCACCTTGCCAGATCAAATAGTGGCAGAACATAATTTTAGCAATAAAACTTTTGCATCGCCGCACTTGTATCTAACAAACGCCTGGTGTGTTGCCTGTGGACTGCGGAGTGTTCCTTGGTATCTCAGTCCCGGATTTCGGTAAGCGGGATTGATCACTACTTAATACTCTGTAGGGATGAATGTTGAAATGCCGTTAGAAATTGTTCAAATTATTAACTGCGCTCAACGCCGCTCTCTACATTTCGCTTGTTCCTGTTCGCATTGGTAATGTAGTACTGAATAACTTTACGGTGGTTCAGTTTTTGACTATTTTTGCAAACCTCTTGCGTCTTAATGCGAAACCGGTAAATTTTGTTCGTTCTGTCTTAGAAACCTCTTTATCGCGAAAGTCCGGCATATCGGTACAGCATCAGCATTTTTTACCACATACCGTACAGCTAATGGTTGACGTCCGTTCGACACCGTTAATGAGCTTCAGTTTGCAGAATCATGGATAACAAAGCTGCGCGGGATAATCGTTCTAACCAGCTGAACCCAAATCACCAGCCAACGGGACCTGGGCGCCCTGCTGGCTACCACGGAGCTGGAGACAAAGCAGACCTGAGCAATCATGCCAAACAGCTCAATCCGAATAATTCTCTGTACAAAGGCGGAAATAACGGGCCGAAAAAGTGAATTCGCACACTAAAGCACTTCCAGTGGTGGATTTTCAGTCAGACGTTTTGATAAAACGTTTAATATGATGAATATCGAGTAATATTTTCTGACGCAGAAGAATCCCCCACAGCGGCTTTTTGTTTGTTTGATGAAATGCGGTAGTATATCTATCAGTGGTCTGGAATTGTTCCGATATCGGTAAAATTGTACGTGACATCGGTAAACAAAATTATGGTATTGTTTACCAGCTTTACAATTGAAAACAGGAAATAAATATAATGTGTGTGTGGTAGTTACGAATTACTATTACTAATTAAAAAAAATTTGCGTTTAGACAACAAAAAACAGAGTGAAAAGAAAACCATCTGCACATACTTTGTACTACACACTGCATACAGTATTGGAACGTTTAGAACCAATCGTGCTTTACAAACTCTAGTAGGTTGTTAGTGTATATACTGACAAGTTTCCAATTAAATTTACGAAAAGGTATAATTTCGCGTTGTCATTGGTCCTGTGGAGTCCACACCGGCCTGATTATCCCAAGAAATCATTACGTACGTAATGAATACTCCAGCTCCCTATAAGAAACGTATTCCCGATAATTCAGTGGCATAATGCCGCAATAATCTTTATCGTATTAAAAGTTATTAAGAAGTTAGTGTATTACCCCAAGTGCGAATTCATGGTTGATATTGATAATACCGATACTGAATCCCACGAATTCCTGGGCCATAATTCCCAGACGCAGAGCCATATCCTGTTTCTGGCTCCCAAAGGGCATGTTCAAAACACGCGCTGCCATTGACGGCTTTAACAGTTCAGCCTGTAAAATATCCAGAAAACTGCGTGCAGCCCTAATACAACCCACAACAAATTAATTGGTACCTTGTTGGAGAGTAGCAAGAACAACACGGTTCGCAGGATTACGAAGACGACCGTGCAAGCGAAATAAACGATGAAGCTCATAGCGGCCTGTATCAGATGGACACTCCACAGCAGCCAGGCGAAATCTTTACAGTACAAACAAAAAAGCCAAAACTTCAATTTATCGCGCAACTGCCCGATAAGGTCAGAGAGCAAACGATGTTCGGCTTCGTATTTTTCACCCGCTTCGGAATCCACTGCGTTATATTTTGCCGTAATATATTCGAAGCACAGAATCATCGAGACACTCAAAATGACCAGAAAAGATTGCGTCAGAATATTCACTACATCGGTTAACCGATTGGCTATATAGGCCAATTTATGGACAAACAGAATAAGTGGTTTAGTGCTAATCTTTATTCCCAGAAAAACGTCCGGACTGTAAAAAGTGGCAATCGTTCGTTCGAGGGACGGATACACGTAGACGCTGCTCAATAATAAAGCAAAAACGACGAATATTTTCAGTTTGCGATCGGAAGTCTGTGTTAAACACCGTTTGCTGATCGGCTCATAATCATTCAGCCATGTCTTTATACCGAAAACGCTTTTTGCTGTTCCAGCGGCTAAAAACGGTAGGAATGCACTGTAGACCATTTGACCGGTAAGTTTGACCAGTTCGCTGGATGTTTTGGGTTTTGTGCGGTAATCAATGACCAATAAATTTATGCCAGCGTGTAATGTCGTGCCAACGAAGATGGCAACGCCCCAAAAGGTCAACACGATGTCACCGATGTGATAGATAAATGGACGATTATTGCGTCGCTTAGGTAAAACCAATAAGCCGAAAACTCGCATCACAACCAAAAGGATACCAAAGAAGGTATTTACAAATGAAAACGTATTTAGCATTTTCATTTTTAAGTGTTACAGCATTTCACCGAAAATACAGTGCTCGCTCGTTGAGTTAGAGTTTTTGTCCTACTTAATTTAACTCCTAAATAAAATCTTGATGAGATAAACGATGCTACGAGGCGTTAAAAGTGCCGACGCACTTCTAACTGGAAGTGTAAATTCGAAACAGCAAACGAGGTGTCTTTTGCAATATTGCGCGCGTATATGCACGTCCAAGGTCAAGTTTCGGTGGTTTAGTCAGCAGATCGGGCCGGGTTATTTTTGGTTTAGGTTGTGTAACGAATCCCACCAATGGAAGGGATACAGTTTTCAATCAAATGGAATTTAAGTCTACAGGGCCGTTGCCATATTATATAAACTAGCAAATTAACAAGAGCTTCAGCGTACAATTTGATCCAGTCCTGATGTAATGCTCCGCTACATAATTAAACAATAAAAACTGTAAAAACGTACGTACTGTACTGTTCCCGGCATTGCGTAAACGTAATATTCCGCTACATACCTAATCAATAAAATAGCGTAGAGAATTACTGTTGCCTTAGAGAATTACTGTTTCCGGCATTGTGTAAACGTCGGGATGCTAATCCGACAAAAACGTTGGCGTAGTGTTAATTAACGTGAGGTTACCAGCGATTTTGATCATTTTGCGGCCAATCATACACTAGCGTTGTCAGAATACGCTTTTACAGATAAGGATATTTGAAGAATGCTTCACTACACTTTTACGTTAGAAAAAAATTTATTTTAATGATGCCCAACTTATTACAAGGTTTTAAAGTCAATCATTTTAGGTCAATATTTACAGAATGCAATCGGTGCAAAAAAAGTCAAAAGTTATCACACACGGAACTTTGATTACCATTTCCCTTAAAAATTTGAACTGTTAAAAACCGTACCGGAACGGATGGGTCAGCGCTGACCCTGGGTGTTTACAGCTAGAATTTTTATTGTTTTCCATATGTCAAAAAACGGTATGTGTAACCAGCTCAGTAGAAAATGTTTTGATTTCATTAAACTTTTTGAGTATTTTTTAAAGGGTAGAGCTGTTTTCGAACCAAGTTAATTTCTCACAAAAGCTATCAAAGTCTTCCTAGTTTTGTTGCCCTCTGCACAGTACAGAGAATGCAGCGGTGACTACAGCAGACGAAAGGACAGGCGCGTCGAAACGGCGCGCACACGGTATGGGCTAAAAATTTGTCCTAGATAAAACACATCACACCGTCGTGCCACTTATCGTTGTATTTTCTATCTATTATTTCTAATTACTTTCATCGCTGCAGTATATGCGAATTGCTGTTGAACATAAAAAAGTCGGATTTATGACCCCTATTGTCTTAAAAAAGCGCTAGTCACTTTCTCTTTGTTACGTTCCGTTCTGTTATCGCTTCCGTTTCGACATCCATGACGAAAAGTTGTTTTTAAGGGTAAGCAGATAATACAAAATTATAGCGCTGTATTCAGATGGAGAAGACTTCACTCTTTTCAGTTTACTACGTATCCCAAAATGAATTTCCGCTGGTAACCTTGCGTTAAATTAAAAACCATTAAAGCTTGAAAAAACGCCTTGTGGGTGTCGTATTTGGTTGTCGTACAGAGGCCTGTTGTTGAGGTAACCAACATTGAGTGTTAGTTTGTAATCGTTTTGGCTACTGAAACTGTTACGTGGATTTGTGACATTCTGTTTGCAATTTAATCTGTTGTTTGTTGTTGGCACAATTTTGCTGCTGTGACATTCTGGATCTCAACAAGATCCGATTAGCAGGGTTTCTGGTAATAAACATTTGACTTCATAATTTCCAGGATCAGGAGGATGCAGTTTCTAAGGTGTGGCTGTTGTGTCTTTTTGTTATTTAACCCATGAAAATTAATTACAGAAATTAAGTGATAAAACTCTTGAAAACCGAACTGACCTATCAAAACAACCACATAACGTTTAAATGCGAAGAAAAGATAAGTAAATGCTTCTCAAACATAGAAAGCAGTCTAATACAGCGAAATCTAAAAGCACACCAACATCATGACTTATTTTTCCTCAATGAGGACACATTTCCGTTATCCCTTCTCCCGGCATAAAGACGAAAAAACCCACATTTCGAGGAACCAAGGAAAAGCGATTAGACTTCTGAATATGTTATTTGTTTAACTGTATGAAATCATCGGTGCGCTGATAAAAACAAAACGGCTAATCAAGTACGCGTTAAAAATTCCATAATAAACTAACTGCGAGTCTGCGACCCTTCACGCTGCGCTCCGGCCGGTCTGCCGGTGAGCGCAATAGTGCATTTGCTTAGTTATCTTTAACTCTGTAACAGTTACTGATCCAAGATGTTGCTAGGCAGGGAACTTCGACGGACAGAAACACTCGGCATGGTCGTTGACTTGGGAATCAGCTGGGTCATCTGGGTCTGAGATGTCTGCTGAGAAGGACTGCCGTCGGAGTGCTTGAAACAGAAGAGTGTGCGGCGCAACCACTGTCGGCATTTCTTGGTAAAGCAGAGATGGACCAGCGGCGTGAAAGCGGTGGAGCTTTTGGCGGTGAAGGCCGCGGTGGCTTCCAGTTGGACAGGGAGAGTAGAGGGGTCAAAGAATGTCTCCCAGCTGGCCACAACGGCGTACGGCGCCCAGCAGACGATCATGCAGATCCCGACGGCAAGCGTCATCTGTGGAAATTTTAGCGCATATTGCAGGATTTGTCATAACCGTATTACGGCGCGGGGTTGTGATTAATGGGAAAGGTTATTAGAGATTATGATGACTGTGACGTCCCTGGGGACTACTGAAATCTGTAGCAATTAGTAACCGAAAAGTGCACGCGGATTTGAACAAATAAGACCAGTATTAACCTAGCTGATACTGACCAAGCCCGTGAGCTAATGCAGTTAAGCTTGCACTTAATTTCTGGAAGATACTTGATACATTCTTGGATTTTTGGATAGATCTTGTGACCGCGTATGCAGTTGTTTGCGTGGAGATTACATGTGTTCAAGCTTCCCTTAATCAGCCGGCAAAATGTCGTTAATTTACGGTATACCCACATTGTTTTCACAAAATGATTTCCCTGGATAAGGGCACCTTGAATCATGGGTGTCTTTGCAACGAAATATGGGGCGGAGTGTGTGACCTACCATGAGAGTGTCGTTCTGGACCTTGGTCCACTTTTTAGCAAAGTCCATGTTGACGTATCGGCGTTTCAGGGAACGCAGATGGCTGATGACACGGTAATAAAAAATCGCAGTGAGAGTCACCGGAATAACGAATCCCGTGATCATTAGAATTGTGATATAGAAGACCGATATCAGAGATTTCGTTGACCATTTAATTGTGCAGCTGGATCCATGTTTGCCGATTCCATATTCTCCCATACCGATAATCGGCAGCATGCAAAGGAGAAAGGACATCGCGCAGATGGCCGGGATAATTATCCAAACGATGCCGCACTGACATTTTGTGTTGCCCTGCCCCGCTCTGACCGTAGAAACTGCAGCAAGCAGTGAAAGGGATCAGATGAAACACACGTAGCACAGTGCAGAGCGGGAATATACTTACCAGTATGCTTCGCCGATACTGTACTGTAAAGCACGTATGCAATTCCTGGTAAATCGAAAATGGATGCAAGCCCGAGAAACATGGTAACAAAGGCATACCCAACGCATCCTAAAATATCAATGCTACGCAAATGATAATCGGAAAATAACTGAGAACTTATTGTTAGCCGACTTTTTGTTCCAGCCACTTAAATAAGTGGGCACTTTAACCGTTACGCTTTGCACGGTTTTTAGGCACCTTACAGTGGCCATATTTCACTCATGGTAGAGGGGCACTATATGTACTAGAAAAATGCACGTTGGCGTGCCTTAGCAGACCGGAGCGAAGCGGTTTCACAGCTTGGTCAAGAAGCTTTGTTGCATGGCCCGCCGACAAAAATTCATTGACATTTTTTGTAAATAATTCTCCTACAAACATGTGGGAAAAACAGAACACCGGACTAAACTTATTGCCACTGTTTTTCTTTCATTCTTTGAATTTTAGTTTTTTTCACTTTGTAGTTAAGCCGGTTTAGGGCAGTTGTTCCCAGAATTTGCCACAGATGACCCGGCAACAAATACAAATTAATCATTTTTAAGTTATCACCGTATGTGCCCAGCATCTTTTGCGAGTATTTTCAAGTAATTTCTTTATTTCAGACACTAAACCACGATTAAAGCGAAATTAAAACTACGACCAATCTTTTTAAAGCAGTTCAACCCAGGGTCTCTAAAGCACCTCCTCCATTAAAAATTCGTTTTCAGTTGATCCCAGGGTTGAAGTTAATTACTTTAGAAACCGTTTAGTTATCTCAAGCCCGCTTCAATAAATTTTACGCAAACAATGGAGTGTCTATTTGCCAGTCGGTTTTAACCAAGCACTGTGTGACCTTTTTAAATTATTGCAGGCATTGTTAAAGGGGGGCCGGGATCACCCCCAGTTACTTCCTACAACTGCCTCAACCAGGATTGGCATGGATTTTCATTATCTGTGCCAGGGTGCCCTTACTTGTCGAGCTTCTTCTACAAGTTGGGCACGATTTATTCGAATGCGACATTGGCAAAGGTTGCTATCTGAAGTGACCTATGTTCTTCGTTAGCGTTTTAAGCATACAGGAAACACCACGTTACTATCAACGGTGCTTCCCTAACAGACACAAGATAAGCAGTGCAAAACCGTTCTACAGTCTCTTGGCGTTATCCGGCTAGTCCGCGATAAAGTCATATTTGGGACTTCCGTAACGGACACAAGTGAAGCACTGCAAAACTACTGTATAGAGCCGTGACGCCAGTTGACCTATCTAGGATGACGTCATAGCTGGACTTCCGTAACGGACACAAGTGAAGCTAAGCATTGAAGCTGAATTAGGAAGACCTTCGCTTCGCTCCGGTCAATCAAAGGAATTAATAAGGCACGAGTACAATGCACATGATAGAATATTTGTACACAGTTTGCTTTCTTTGCGATAAAATCTATTTGGCGACGCCCAATTTGTGTCGCCAAATTTGTTTTGATTTTGACGTATTGCAAGTGTTGTGTGAGTATCTGTACTAGGTGATGGTTGTTAACCATATCGTTTGGACCTACTGGGTACTGGGTAGCATTCGAAAAAGCATTACCTCACGCTCTTCGAGAAAGTAGAAAACAATTATGCTACCGACATGACCATAATTCCAACAGTTTGTTGTGTTCGGTGTAAAATACCAGCTAGCGTTGTTTTAAATTGTGTACTGTACTGTGGCATGTATAAGTTGTGTTACTGTTACGTCATTGATAAAGTTCTAGTGTATAACAAAACAATCCGTTAATCTATAGAAAATTTATGTACAACATTTTTTTCGTAGAACATTTAAAAGAAGTATGCAAAACGACAGCTAGACTTGCGTAATATTGTGCAGTTAATGGTTTTAATTAATCGATCTGCGGTACCTGCATGTCCGAACATCCAGTAGTGGCTGATCAGCGAAACACCGACCATGGGATACGTAGTCAGTGCGAGCAGGCCATTGGAAACTGCCAAAAACCCCATCAAGATATCTAAGGGCAGGATATGACCTTTTTGCCTGGCGATTCCGATTAAAACTACCCCGTTAGCGTACAAGGACAGTACCCCTATAAAAATAACAAAACAATTTACTGACACAAATTGTTGCTTTTCGACGGGAGAACATTTCTATAGGCTTACAGATAAACAGCAGATAAGCGGCAACGCCAATATCCGCATTGGATGATAACTGAGATCCGGCGGTTATATCGATGTATCGCGTTGGTTTCAAGGTTGGAGATTCAGCTGGTTCCGTTGTTGAAGGAAGTATAGTCATAGTCGATTCCATATCTGCGCAGTTGGTCGTTTTACGTGTATAAAGACCATAATAAAATTTATGATAACCCTCGCATATGCCACACAGAATCATACCATGTACACATTGGTACTGTACTATTTAATTAATGTACCGATGGTTTTCCACGTTGATAAAGTAACAATACTTATCATAATCATAGTACATAACGTACATAACGCTTTATACAGGTACATAACGTCTTACCTGTAAGGCTTATGTCATACGAGTACAGAAAGCGAAGTATTTAACTGGAACACGGAAACAAAATTCTCCACAACTTGCGGACACAGCTTGGTGGTTGGACGAGTAGCAGGAAATGTTTGCGCTTGTACTAAGTAAGCTGAAAAGGAAAATTCATTAACAAGTGGCTCTACTCCAACGCATAAAGCACTTTCCAGATTATATACTATGTATATAATCTGGGAAGTACTCAGTGCACTAGTGTGGCTGCATTTTCTTGGTGCATTATGTATGAAGAATTAAACTATTATTACTGTTTATACTATTTAGTATCTAATGCAACACGTACATATTTAAATAATGCTGATCAATACAAATAAAAGCTAGAATTTAGAAGAGTAAGCGTTATAACTTTAATTAGCTATATAAGTCCAAAAGATAGTCTGAAGAAATGAAACAACTGAAAGGCTACACAAATGCTATAGAGGAGTTTACTGCAGCAAAAGCGCACCATAGTAACGGTCATCGTTTGACACTTCTGCTCCATGGATCGTCTTTAATACAATTTTTCCCCGCTAAGCCACACACTGTACTCCCACTTTTTTAATTAAACTGCCATGGCACACCTTCATTTCGGTCTCGGTGCTAAAAGGTATCTGCCGTCAGTAAAATGTCACATGGCCAATAAAAGTTTTCTAATTCTAAATGAATGGAATTAAAATTGACATTTTGCAGTAAATTCCTTCAAGCTGCTAAGTTACTGACGAATGACGATGGAACCACCGGGATTAAATCGAGATAATTGGAAGTGCCTAGTCGACGTTGCGGCTTATCCTATTTTAACGAGGAGTCGCAGATTGGTACTTCTATGGGATTTGAAAGTTACCGATATTTTTGCAGAACGCTTCTCGGGCAAACGTCATGGTTCTACAAAGTGTCGCAGAAAAAAAAATCAGAAGTTTGTCTGGCCGGTATATGGAGAGTAATATTAACATACACACCGTATGCGGTTTGTATGTTAAGCCAATTTTTACAGTGAATTCTCGCGTATAGTGGTGCCCTTGTTTCCGGACGAGCTTGTATTTGAAGCAATTAATGCATGGGAAACCTCTGACAAATTTTTTTTGAAAAAAATATCGCCAAAGATATGTGGAAAGTACGAGATCAGCATGTGATTTCTTCAAAAAATACTTATAGTTTTACAGAAATGTACAGTAAAGAAAAATTGGCGTATCTGTATAACTTACTACGTACAACGATTTAAATTTCTATGTTTATATAGTCTAACATTCTCCAGAATTTAATGCCGTATATAAAATGTATACCATCGACGCTGTGCAGACATGATTTCAGCTGAATAATTTAGCAAGAGTCCTAGGTAGCTATTTTAATATAAACCGCAAATACTGAGAAAGGTTTAGGTATCGAAAGTGTTCCATGTAAATCAGGGTATTAAATTATGACCTTGCTGCATACGTACTACGTTTCTAAAAAGTAACGATTCTGCGTAACTTACTCGCGCCGATGTGAATACTTCATCGTTTCCAGGAAGGCTTTTTGTGTGATTGGACACAGTCGGTGTATTTTCGATCAGTTAGTTAATTACACTTAATTCGCTTTTTCGATAATTTTGGATTAATCTTCCTGGGACTGACCCTGGAGAGGATGACGTCGATACAGTTAAAAATTCTCACAGGAAAGACGTACATTGTTATTTGTCGATATTCTGCAGCATCTATGTACGTTGTCGTCTCCGTGATTTTGTAAAGCGGCTTTTGCTGAAATATCTTCCGAGTTTACTTAGAATGAATCATCTGGTGGGATGCGCAGGCAGCTTATTGAAAAACAAGGCACACCCAGTGAATAGTGCAACTTCTGCGTCCCGCCGTGTTACTGTCTTATATGTGTAATTTTTTTTTAAAATCAGTAAGGCAAAAAACTTGAAACCCCCAAAAGCTAGCTGTACAATAAAGGAGACAGTGCAGTTTGGTTTTAAAGATGATAACTCCTTCAGCACATCACTGCGGGCGTGTTATAGCCGGTAGGAATATTGACGGGTTGATGCTTGATGACCTTCACTGAACGTCCATCTTCCTGCCGACTACGGCGTGCCCTTACTAACGGACAAATCTCCTTTCCATAACACAAAACAAATAAACCAGGGAACAATTTAAACTGGCGATCAAACTCGAAAGACCTCCAAGCCGCGTTAACAAATCCTTTGCAACCGCTGAATTGTATTTGTACCACATCTCTTACAAGTAATCCTAAAAGTTTGGCATAATTTGTAACTGCAATTTGTGTTAGTACGACAGTGCGTAACCTTTCGGTGAATCAGCCGGTCTGCTTGAAATCACTGCTAAAAGGATCATTTTATTTTTGGTGCACTGAAATGCATTACACCTAGCGCCTGAAAGTGAATTAGTGAATGTCTCGCTGTTAATAAACTACTCTTCTGGAGATTCTGTTGTTAAACGTTAGAAATGCTGCTGAGGCAATCAAGGCATCAGTCCAGTTCTCATTGCGGCACTACCATTTACCATGAACAACGGCTGACAGCCGTTGTTCACGGTAAATGTACCTATCCCTGTTGTTGCTGTATTGTGTTTCTGCGTAAATGGCGCCGCAGTGAGCAATCTGTTTACGCACTATCTCCTTTAACCTGTTCATATGTGACCTTGGTCTGCCGGCTTCGTCAAATGGTATTGCCGCGCATGAGTTCTGCAAATTGTCCTTGTAATAATTTTCTTGGCAAAAATCTTTTCATCGGCGCCGGCTACGCGGTGATGTTGGTAAGCATTGATCGGTTGATACCCATGAAATATTCGAATGGAGGAATCCGACAGAGTGGCTTCCGTCGTGATGTGGCTGCTGATAATCGCACTAACAACATCAAATTTGTGATGGAAAGGGTTGTGGAATTATCGGATGACCTTATCGTGTTGGTTGAGCTATGCCGGAACCCAACCAACTTATTAACTGACGATTAAGACTTTTGCATACGATATGGCACAGGGCTTACATACTTGCGTCAACATATCGCATTAGCATATCGCACATCGTTAAAATATCGTATAAAATGTAAATTTGTAGTGCCCTTTTCTATACATACACATTTGACTTTGCCAATAATTTGTAACGTTTTAGAGGATTAGACAGCTGCAATTGAAGCAGCTGGGAAAAAAATTTCGAAACATTAACGAAGAAAATAGAAAAACCGTAACACGACACTAACACATTTTATCGATATAATATGAACTTTCGGGCTTGTATTTCAGCTCTTTCAAAATAAGAGCATCCGCCTGCGGTACCAGGGAAACGGTTCCGGAAACCGAATCTATTAAGCAAAAGCCGCACCACCAAAAAGAGGATGTTCGGTCTATCTACGCTGCCGGCAGGCACTACGCGTTTTGATCTGCTCCATTTCGCCTTTGATTCGTGGAAGAAGTATGTTTAAATTACTTCAGTCAGTGTGCACATGTTCAGACTCGATAAAAAGAGAAATGATGTTTGCACCGTGTGTCACGTTGTTGTATCTTTCCCACCCATTCATTTATATAAAGTTCTAAACAGTAACCTCTGGATTGAGCCTAATTTGCGCCGGACGATTTAAATCGTCCTCCAACCACAAATTTGTGGTTGGAGGCTGAGTGAATGCTCGGTATAGAATACAAACCGACTGAAGATTTAAGGTCGAAAAACAGCTTGATTACGGGATTTTCAAGTCATGCGCTACATAACAATGCAGTTTCTTGTGTTGTTCCTTAAAAATTACCAGTTGTCTGCAATGTCCACAAAGTAAACGGATTCGTACGATCACAAATCAGTGCAACTGATGGACAATGAATAAAATGGCTGAAAACCTGCGCAAGCGTTTATGAATGTGTACTGAGTTTTGCTGAATAAAATGAAAATCTTTCCGTCTTAAAAAATCACTGCTTACTGACCGCGTGACTTTCTCTCTGTAAAGCATCGCATGAAACTACAAAATATGCCGTCTAATACAGAAAGGCATACTTCTAGCCGAATTGTATTTGACCAGCAGTAGCGCTGCCGTAGTCGAAATATGATCCCGAAACTTGATACACGACACAAGAAGTCACTGAATGAGATCGATGTGAAATGGCTCAGAAGATCAAAGTGTTATGGCTAATACCAGAAGTCAGTAATCGTACCTCACGCTATGATATATAGATATAGTATTTATACGCATCTGCATTATTCCAGATTGGTACGAACGTATACGTTTGTTAAGAAGTTTCGAAAGCGCTGGGTCTTTCTTTTCCATTTAAAGACAAGACTGTCCTTACGTTTATCGTTCACTACAGTTTTGATCGAATACGAAAACCCACATTTGACGCTATTCGTAAAGGGCACCCAACATTAGAAAACGTCTACCAACATTGTTCAGTTTCTTGTTCCACGAAACGGTTTGCTTACCTTCGAATCCCTCTATTCGTTTCATGCTGTAATGCGTTGTGTCTAACGTACAAAAATGAATCTCTCTTTGCTAACGAATCTCTCAATTGGTGATTCTGTTTTCAGCAGCCCAAATGCGACGATTGCAGCATCGATCCCGTACCCACTAGTAACTGTGGTGTCCGTTATATGCATTGCTACTGTTGCCTACAACATTCTGTTTATCTGCGCTTTCATGAACGACGCCGCAGTCCGCAATCCATTCACGTACTACCTCCTTAACGTGTCCGTGTGTGACCTTGGTTTAGCCACGTTTAGTATGTCCGGTTTCGTCTGGTTCACCGTGTCACCGAGGTCGAGTGCGGCATATTGCCCATATTACAATTTTCTCGACAAACACCTCTTCATCGGTGCCGGCTGTGCAGTGATGCTGGTCAGCACTGACCGGTTGCTATCCATGTTCGCACCGGTTTACTACAGAAATATCCGATCAGTGAAATCTACTTGCGTAACTTGTGCGGTGATGTGGCTACTGATCGCCACGCTAACGACGCCGTACGTTGTAATGGATGCGATATGGTACAATCCAATGACCCTGCCGTGCTCGATGAATTATGGAGCTCAGCACACTTACTCGCTGGTTATGGAGTTTGTAGCGTACGACATGCCTCCAGTCTTCGTTTTGTGCTCCTATGTTATTATCTTTACGAAATTATTTCGGCGTATGTTGCGTACCCTGAGAAAGCGAGTATTTCCTAATGCAAGCACATCATACGCCTTCAGTAAGTACGAAGATGATTGCAATACTATCTCCTGATTCCAACCTGTAATGGCCTTTTCATCAAAGTACACTCCAGTTTGTAAAATGATACATATCGGCAAAAAAGTTAAACTTTACAAGTTCGAATCAACTCAGGAAAGCTTACTGAATAAGTAACAACAACTTATGTAAATTAGGTAAGCAAAAAATAGCGAGAGTGTCAAGTTTTTGTTGCAATTTTAGCTCTTTCAAAACAA